TCGGTTTCCGCATATAACGGATTTTTTTTTCATCCACTTAATCATTTTGCTAGACAGATTTACCCGTGACAGTGAGATCATGTCGGATCTGTTGAGTGGCATTGCGAGTTTTACAAAAACAGTAGCCGATTCATTGAACACATATGAAATCAGGAAACTTGGTGACAAAGTGTAAGCGATCTTATTGATTTTCAAAAATTACTTCGTGAAACTATGAGTTAAGTTCAGTTCAGTCAATTATTTCATTAATTTTAAACATAGTATACAATATACCGTTAATTCCGCTGTAGTTCAGTTATCATTATTTCTTCTATGTAACCCATATTCAAAATGTTCAATATCAATATCTGTCCTTTTTTTCAAGTCTGGAGGCTTATATAACTGTAAATGAATGGCGTCGTTTTTTCTTGGCGTGAAACCCATTTTCTTATGATTGGGTTAAATTTTATGAAATATCACCGAGCTCTTTGGATGAAAACCGTTAAATACATAAAGGAGATGGAAGTGGTCCTGGGATTTCCTTTCAGAAACATGTAGGTGGGTTATTCGTTTTATAAGTTTTAGGCAGGGAATGGTAATGAACTATACGGAAGCAGAAAGTAAGGTCCGAGAAGCAACTAACGAAGATCCGTGGGGACCGACAGGGCCTCAAATGGCTGAAATTGCACATATGACATATCAATATGATGCGTTTCCCGAAGTGATGAGCATGCTCTGGAAGCGGATGCTACAGGACAATAAGAATGCATGGAGACGAGTATATAAAGTAAGGCATTTTGTGATACGTGTTAGTATCTACTTAGAAATTACTCAAGAATCTATCAGTTATGTTCAAGAATCTCACAGTTTGATCTCAGTGTTTTAGATAACAAAAGTCGTTCATTCACTGTTATTTTTGATCAAACTCTTCATTATTTTTGGTATTTTATTGCTTTATGTGGCAGTTTATGACGCTTTTCTACATTTTCTGTAATATTATATTTTGTCTTTCAGTCCTTAACACTACTGCATTATCTGTTAAAAAATGGCAGTGAGCGAGTAGTGAGCAACGCACGTGACCATTTATTTGAGATGCGTACGCTGGAATCTTATAGATTTACTGATGAAAAGGGAAAGGATCAGGGACTTAATGGTGTGATTCACTTTATTTTTCTAATGACTCGTTGATTTCGAAAAAACTTCAATTTTAGTTTTTAATTGTATCTACATGATGAAAATAATGTATTTTAAAATTTAAGTATAAATTTAAGTATTATATGGTCCGAGTGTGAAAGAAAACTAATGTACATTCGCTGCTGTTTTTACAAACTTTTCAAACATTTCTTCGAAACATTTTGACGTCACTGATTTAGGTGGTATATAAATATTTTCGCAAATACAGGTATTCATGGTGAGTAATATATAGATGTTTTCCCAAATGCGGGTATTCATAATGGGTAATGGAAATAAGTTTGTTGTAACAGTTCGGTGTACTTAAGTTGTAAGCTTTTTATTGTTGGAACGAAATCTATTTTATAATTTTTATGGATCAGTTTTTGTTTATAGTACGACATCGGGTTAGCGTTTTGTTCGAATTGATTCAAGATGATGAACAATTAAAAGCAGAGCGAAAAAAAGCAAAATTAGAGGGCAAGGAAAAATACAAAGGCTATTCAAAAGACGATATGCGTTTGGGTGGACAAACTATCTTCAGTTAGTTATCTAAATCTTTTTCAGATTTTTAGGTATGGTACATAGTCAAGGTATGAATATTTTTATTACCTTTAAAAGAAAATAGCTCTGCATTTCATATCAGTTTTGTCATATAGAATCAACTTGCCTTGCATACAAATATTAAGTATATGCTTTTGTGGAATTATGTGAAGCTCCAGCTAGGGAGCAGTAAAAGTATTCTCTTCGTTGTTCACTGTGGCGTCAGTGAAACTAGTATTAGGGTCATTTGTACATGTAATGAGTGATAGAGGGATCACTCGCGGTCAGAAAATCTGCATTATTGTATGCTGATAAAATTAAGATAATAAAAAAGATCAGACATTTGAATGGTTTTCTAAAATATTTAGTGAAGTTATTAATTTTTTAGGGTAGATACAACATATTCAAGGCTCATTTAACAGTTTAGTACTTTTCTTGTAAAAAATAAGTTAAAATATTTCAGTCCGGTAAGCTTGAGTTTTGAGGGACGAAGCTGTGGATAGAATTTTAATTGCCGTATTAGATTAGAGGCGCTGTTATGCTCTCTTTCAGGTAGTAATAATAAAGGAAATTCTGATGAGTGGAGAAATAGCGGTGATTTTTCGAAGAGGCGAAATTCATGTGATGAAGATGGAAGGTTGATTCTTTTTTATTGACACCTTACTTTGTTAGTGAATATTACTATGTGTCATTCATCCAGCAACATTTTAGTTGTTTTAGAGACTCTTATCGCCATCGTGAAGTAAACTCGTTCCAGTTTCCAGACGAAGAAATCAGCCACTGTGGAGGTGATAGTCCAGAACTTGGCATACGGGAGGTTGGTTAAAAATAGGTTTGATATCTATCTTTAATTTATAAAAGCGATCGAATTTTTGCCATTCCCGTACAATTTCAAGTTTTTGTTTTTTTCTGTTTACCAAGGACTTTATTTGCAGCACACACCAGAGCCAGTTGGCCAAGAAATCGAAGATGATGAAGAATTCGGTGATTTTGCCCTGGCTCGTAATCTTCAGTCTCAGTTTCAAAAAACTTCTACACCGTCGTTAGTAACAACACAGTCACAACCCATTCATAAACCTTATCAGCTACATACCACCGATGTTCCAATTCCTGCCGTCGTACCTCCTCCTCCTCCTCCTCCACCTTCTTTTCCTGCTGGTTCGAGTGTAATAGCTACGACCGTAAAACATTCCGATAGTGGCATTTATCAGCAAAATAAACCAGTCCACGGTTCATAACATATTTCAAATATTAGTAAAATTATCGTTATAGATTGCTTCACTTTGTTTTTTATCATCTGATTTCCGAGAACATGAACGTAATGAAAAGATTGTAACGGTATTGTTACATTCTTTTTATTACATTTTTCTCTCCTGGACATAATTACAAGAATGATTAAAATTCAATTTAAGTGTGTCTTTTGAGAATTTTCCGGTTAAGCTTTTACCCTCAAAAATTTCTATTAACTATCCTCAAAGAACCTACGTTCTCTCGATAACTGGATAAGCCCTTCGATTCCCACGTTCATGCTGTTAAAGTTGGAGTAATGTTATCAGAAGATAGTTGGG